TAATATGTTTGTTTTTGAGCACTGAATTCAGAGTAAAAATATGAAAAGTTTTTTTTAATTTCCAGTGAGAAACTTAAACAACGTAAAAATTAAAACAGCTGACTTTTGATTGAGGAAAGTAAAAAGGAAATGAGAAAAAAGAAGGAGATCTTTAAAATGTGTCTTTGCCTTTATAAGAGATGATATCATTTATTTGTTTGTCCGGGTCCTACACTGAGCGATACTCCCACATAGTTCAGTGGAGATTCTGTTTTCCTCTCGGCGACTTCTTGGTGGTTTTATCAATCCACAGAACAGCCAGAAGGAAGTCACTACGTGGTCGCGGATATGGACCTGATCAATGAAAATAACACGTCCACCCAGATCTTGATCAGGAAACCCACTGCGAAAGCAAAGACACGACATGCCTTTCCACAGAGAATTTATGATGACGGGACACGTTACAATGACGCATCGATGACGTCACCAATGTCTGGTGCGGGTCAGAGGAAAGTTAAACGTAACACACCGTTGGGTCATACGCAACGCCTACTGTGTTACTCGGGCCTGACAGCCGAATTTACTGATAAGGGCTAGATCTAGTAATCAGTGTGTAGTCTGACCGCAGTGACCAGAGAGCTGTAAGGATGGTTTTTTGTTTAGCTGTAGGCTTATCATGTACCGTGTAGTGGCTGTACTTGCAGTTGTGTGTGGTGGATTTCATTCAGCAGGTTCTAATTTGAATTTATTCATTTTAATTTCATTATGTTGTGATTCATTTGGACTTTTAGCAGTGTTCTTGCTGTGTTTATTCTACGTAAACATTAAAAACGTCGTAGATTCATACATGTAATGATGCATTTGAGTTGTGATGCTTACAACATTTATGACTGATCGCAAAGCAAAAGGTTAGAGTTAGAGACTGTTATGTTTGACTGTGGTTTTCACGAGATAATAGGCTAGATCTAGCATGGGAAGAAAATGATCAGTCTATGATTGTAAAACTGGCTATGCCAGCAAAGGTGGGAGAAAATTACTTTTATGATTTCCCAAAAGACACCGATGAAAGGCACCGTTGGGTGTCTAGTCTACCAAACAAACTTTTAGTTGCTGATGTCATTGAAAACATGGGAATAATTATGCAGCCTTCAGTGGCCTGGTAGTGTATCTTTTGCTCGTCGTGGAAGGCATCTTATTCCATCTGTACCTTTATTCGTGTTTTCAGAACGTTCCCAAATCTAGCATTCCAACTGGAAGCTATCTGCATTTTTATGGCTGAAGATAAGTTGTATTAGGCATACCCATTTTGGAATGCAATGCGAAGGAATTCACTGACATTTATTATATTATATTAATGATTTCACAATCAGGATCTCTTCTATTCAAAAGAAAACAACAAAAAGGAAGAATTCTCTTTGATTTCTTCTCTTTAAAACAAGGAACCCACTTACATCTTTTATATATACTAAAGAAAGATAATAGATTTTTAAAAGTTCAATAATTCTCAGTCATACTTCCTTTTGTACCAGACTCAAAATTTCCCAATAAACTACTTTTTTATCCCTCTGTGCGTTACATTTATTTTAATTGAATTCAATTGTGACTGAACATTTTCCTTTCTAACAAACGTTTTGTAAAATGTTGCTCCATATTTAAAAATTATCTCATTTTAATGTACTTGACTTTAGTTTTTTTCAGATCAAATGTACACATAAGAAATACACATACCACATAGAAAGTTCAAATGTCAAGTTTCACGCCACATAGAAAGTTCAAATGTTCAATAGGAAATTTTAGAGCACGATTGTGCGTAACAAGTTCAAATGTGTACAAACAGTTTATCCAAATGTAACATTTAGCAAGTTCAACTGTGTACAAACAGTTTATCCAAATGTAACATTTAGCAAGTTCAACTGTGTACAAACAGTTTATCCAAATGTAACATTTAGCAAGTTCAAATGCCACGTATAGCAAAAGCAAATCCTCGACAAAGATCCGTCAGCGTGAGAAGCATTTTAATGTGCTGAAACTGAGTTGACGACAACCTTAAGCAGTGACCTTTTAGGGTGAATTATATATTAACATAAAATAAAATCCCGAAGATGCTTCCGAGGAAATAATTCTGATAGGACTGAAGCAACCAGAAATATCAATATATTATGCAGCATGGCTGATGCAGGGATATGAATGTGCCTTCATCATGAGGCTGGTATCAAGCTGTTAACGAACAAGAACCGAGGAAGAGAACGGAGTGGTCAGTGCTTTGTTCCAGCAGTACAGGGTCGAAGGGGACCAAACCGATGTCAGTGCCGAGGGTGACTTGGTCTTTCACGACTTTCAAGTAGAGAGAATGACAGCTTTTATTTCAACCCATCCCTCTAACAAAAACTGTTCTAACAATCCCCACAACGAAGTGTGCTTGGTATGTAACAACGCTCGTGCATTAAGGCAAGTTTTAAATGGCAACTCATCAATAGATTGGGGATGAAATATCTTTCCCCCTACACACATTTTTTAAACATCTACGAGAACGCTTGTGTTGTCACAACCATTCTTTTTTTAAAAAAAATTTTAAACTTGCTTATAATTTTCCTTTTCACCTTTATTTCTATTGGTTTATTGTTTGCTTCATTTAACAGTTTCGTTACATCAAATAGACTCGAGCTGAAAAATCTTGCCAGCTGCATACACCATGTCTTACCATCTGTGAAAAAGTTTCTTAATTTGGAAATACGATTTAGTGGTGTGTGTAGCATAATGGTTAGGCTATCGGACCTGTAATCGTGAGATTCGGGTTCGGGGGTTCGAGCCTCAGTTCGGCACTTTACTCGAATTTACCATTTGGATAGGTCCTTTCGGAGATAGACGTTGATTTCGGAGGTCCTGCCTCTTAGCTATTCCATTTCACCATT